TGTGTATATATATATATATATATATACACATACACAGTATATATATATTAGTCCATTTCTGTTGCTTATAACAGAATACCTGGAACTGGGTTCTTTGTAAGAAAAAATTTATTGCTTACAATTTCAGAGGCTGGGAAGTCCAAAGTCCAAGGAACATATTTGGTGAAGGCTTGGTGGTGGCAACAGTGACCCAGGGGTCTCACATGGCAGAAAATGGTGGAGCAGAGAGAGAAGCTCTCATGTGCTCTTCTTTTAAAGCCCTCAGAACCACACCCCTGACCACCATTTTTAATCCATTCACTAGGCATGGTCCTCAGAATCTAATCACCTCTTCAAGGCTTCACCTTTGTATTATCATAATAGGATTTCCCAACTTCAACAGTTACAGTGGGGATCAAGCCTCATTGAGGTTGGGGGCATCCAATCTGCAGCAATATATATGTACAGGTGGTCCTCTGTATCCATGAGTTCCATATGTGTGGATTCAACCCATCACGAATTGAAAATATTTGGGAAAAAAATAATAAAAATAATACTAATTTTAAAAAGCAATACAGTATAACGACTATTTACATAGCACTTACATTGTATTATGTATTAAAAGCAATCTAAAGATGATTTAAAGTATACAGGAGGGTGTGTGTAGGTTAATGCAAATACTACACCATAAGAGACTTGAGCATCCATAGATTTTGGTATCTGCAGTGGAGAGGATGCTGTACTGGCACTAAACCCCTGTGGATACCGAGGGATGACCATGTGCGTGCGTGCGTGCGTGCGTGTGTGTGTGTGTGTGTGTGTGTACTTCCTTTGACATTAATTCTAAAAATACCTTTCTTCTTTTCTAAGACCTCCATCTTTATTTTCCACTCTGTATTTTCTTCACCATGCTTGTCTTAGAATTTGCCAGTATCAACCAGCCTGAGAAACAGCAAAGTGTACTAAGATCCCTGGGAAAGAGAGAACAGGAGGGGCCCAGTGTTATCTTATATGTAGCTCCCTCTTTGTTTTCAAAACTCGATGTAATTCAGCAACTTCTAAATATGAGGGTATCCTCGTAGGTTTGCACCTTAGAAAGTTCTGCTGTCTTTACTCAGAAGAGATGTTCTATTCCCAGCATTGCTCTCTTGTTAGCCCTTAGGAGCATTTTCTCTTAATGGTATACAGTCACGTGTTGCATAACTGTGTTCTGGTCAACAACAAACCACATAAGATTGTAATGGAGCTGAAAAATTCCAATCGCATAGTGACATTGCAGCCGTCCTTTTCCAGTCGGCCCTGGAATTATGTAACAACAGAAATTGCCAGCCAATCAACATCACTGAGATGTTTGGGCCTTGAAACCTACCCCTTTTCTGTTCTCCTAAATCTCATATCTTAGGGTCTTCTAGACCTGTGCCTCTCTCTGGGCCGGGTTCCCCACTTGGCAGTAAAACTTTTCCATTTGGTCTCAATCTTAAGTCTCTAACAGTCTTTATTTTTTATTTAACAGAACATAGGAAGAATTTGTAAGGCATGGTGCAAGGCATGACTCATGTGTTTGTGGTATCTGGTATGAACACACATACTTCAAAATATGTTGGGGAGGAGTGCCTAACTAACCCACAGGATGACCTTCCCATAGGTAGCTCAGACTTTTAAGACAGAAAGCCAAGCATTTGATACATTAGATTTGACACCATGTGAAAAAATTGGTGACTACTTTAGCATTCTTGCTTTTTAAAAATGATTCCCACCTTTTCCTATAGCAAAATAGTAGGTAATAGTTAGCTAACACTCACTGAATGTTTGCTGAATGCCATGCACAATCCCTATGTGTAATTTAATTTTTATAACTGTGGGTGTGGTATTATTCCAATCCCCATTTAACAGATGAAGAAAGTGAGGCACAGAGAGACTTAGTAACATATTTAGAGGGCCCACACTCAAACAACTAGTGGCCAGTGTAGATAGTAGGAAAATTTATTGCTTTTTCCTTTCATAACACATTTTTGCACAATGACAAAATCACCTTACAACACATTTCTCACATATCTCAGAATGCATCTCTCTTGTTAGGTGATGCATGATGGTATTCATTCATCTAGAACTCTCTGTTTCAACCTGTCTAATGCTTTCCCTCCTTCAGCTGTCTCTGAGTCACACTGATCCAAGAAAAAGGGATTTATCCTGCTCATTTTAACAGGAAGAAAGCTTTAAGTAGTGAAACCTGATAAAGATCCTCCAACTAAGCCAAAAACTCTATTTTTTGTTCTGTTGCCATAAGTGCCCTCCATAGCTGCTGAAATTAAGTAGGAGAAATTTACCTATTCATCATTCCATACCCATTCCTGATTAGCAGGACAGCCTTGGTTGAAACTTACTTCACATACCCTCTGTTATATAGGCCACAGAAGCACTTTGCAAACTATAGTGCCTCATACAAACATAGGGTATTATTGCAATTATGTTAGAAACAGCAACTCATTAAAGAGTAAAGTCTTTCTGCACACATCACACTCATTCCTCATTCCTTTATCACCAATTATGTGAACTACTTTGGGACTAACTTGTCGTGTTTTTCCTTAGTGTCATTATGAGGGTACCCATGTGACTGCATGTGATGAATATTGATTAATTTTCACTGCATGTGTATTTTTATTACCATCTAGGTTGTCTTCATTTGTAAATGTCTCCAAATTTTAAAAAATGTCCATGAGCATAACTGCATACCTACTAGATGAGGCTAAAACATATAATTAATGTACAAGAAACAGGACCCAATTCTGTTGAAACAATGGCTCCTAAAAGTGACCTCTAAATCTCCCACTTTACCTTTTTTTTAGAAAAGTGTTTTATTTTCTAATTAGTCTTAGCATCCCCTCCCCCATTTTTGCTATGAATACTCACTGTACTTACAGTGGCATCATTTATCAAAGTAAGCAACTGGGAATGATAGGAACAATGTCAATCAGTATTGAGAATAGTAAGCCTAATCAATGAAATTGTGTCAATAATAATGTTAAATTTTAAATATGGCATATCA